TAACATTTCCTCTAATTTATAATATGATGAACAATCAAAATATTTCAAAAGAACCCTAAATGTGGCAATATACAGCTAGTCATACATATACAAGGGCTAGAGGCCTAAAGCTAACTAAGCTCAAACCTCTGCGTCTCTTCCTGACGGCACTCGCCTAGAACCTTCACTTGAAAACATTGTAAACCACGGGGTAAGACAAACGTCCCAGTAACCAACCTTTCCAATTCAAGGTACTACTAAATAGGTGCTCGTGAGGTGTCAAGTGGGGCAGTTCACAAGTAATATTATAAATGATAGCCACAACAAGTAATGCAAGTGCAATGATGCAATCCCATCAACCATATCCCTCACTTTGGGGGATTTTCAAGAGCCGAACCTGGCCTATCCCTCACTATAGGGGACGTAAGGAGCTATAAAAGGCCTATCCCTCACTCTGGGGGACGTAGGGAGCCAAAAGGCTTATCCCTCACTATGGGTGACGTAAAGAGCCAACCATCATGCATTAATGGAGGCCTTACCACGTGGTAGTAATAATCAAAACTCTTACCAATTCCCAATTCATGCATCATGCTCAAACCATAATCAAAGAGTAAATAATCATTTCACAATTTACTTCTTTCAGTGGCTTATCTTTCACAAGTTACAAATTCAATCAATATCAATTTAAACCCCACAAAATGGTTTTCCTTTTTAATATACAATATACACTTTGAACACAGTTGCTACTTGAAGCACAAAGCATAAATCCACCCACAGTACCACAAAAGCATGTACAAAGGATTGGAAAGTGGTTACCCCTCGCCTGAGCAAGAAATAACAAACCGACAATACGGCCTCGTACACCAACAAGGCTCACAACCGGTCTACACAAGCACACAAACACACAACCACCATGTATTAGCTTTCAACTAATAATGTGGCCAAAACAACACTTGGGGACACAAAATTCCTAGCTCCAACCAAAACTCTACCCAACTAAAGAGGGTATAACCATCAAGGCACACTCCAAAGTCATAAAATCCTTTAAAACCTTAATTCCTTTCTAAACATCAATTAAAACTCATAACCTCAAGGACCCACTATAGGAATTCAACACCCAAACATCCCATTTGAACAATTGAAGTTTTAACAACATTCTAAACCGATTAAACATCCAATTTAACCCTCCTTAACATAACCCAAATCACAAAACTCAAAATCAACCTCTACATTATCATCCTGAATCACAAACCTCCCATTTCCATAAACCCTAGCTTCAAAACTCAAGGTTTTTTAAATCCAAGAAAACTACACCGATTAAATACTTAGACTAACCCAAAGCAATCAATTAAACTCAAAACAATTGGTCAAAGACCTCAATTCCATAACAACCTAGAAAATCTAGGGTTTCACCATAAATCCTTAGAAATTCCAAGAAAGAAAGTAGATTAGAGGTTAAAATCACTTACTTGAGGTAATGGATCCTTAGAAATGCTTTTCCCAAGCCACAACACCAAAACCCTAGCAGAGCTTCTCTCTCCTCCTTCAGATTTTCTAATTTTCGCACCAACAGACCCTCCCGCGACTATATAGATTCGGCACCTTTTACCGCGGCGAACTAATCCCGAGAGGGATTACTCGCCTGAAAACCTGACTTCACCGCGGCGAAAGCTTCCCGAGAGGAAACTCTCGCTCGCACAGAAAACCTTCGCCGCAGCATACCCCTAAGTTTACCGTGGCAAGACCTTCCCGAGAGGGAAACCTCGCTCACTTGAACAACTTCGCCGTGACCAAACCTTCACGAAAGACAATCCCCCTTGGAACTCCCAGTTCGCCAACTTCGTCGCGGTGAATATACCCTGAGAGGGGTCTATTCACCTATTCCTCCAACATACCTCAATTCCAACCCAAACACCAAGATCAACATTAAATCACTATTCTATACTCAAAATCAACCAAAAGAGGTTACTAAAACCCGATAAAACTTAGGATGTTACAGTCTCAGCATCAAACGGTAAGCATGTTTTTCCCCTTTTCTCAATTTGTTTTGTCCATCTGATTGATTTCTTGGTTTTTCTCTTCTGGGTGGGTGTCTTTGGTTTCTTGGTCTGAAAGTGGCTTCCTGCCTTCAATATCATTATTCCATTGCCTTAGATAGCTAGTGTACTCTTTAGTGTAGTTGATTTTACTTTTGATTGTTTCGGTGTGTTGAGCTATTTACTACACTTCCATACGAGATGACGACTTTTAGTTGAAACTTGGATTTGGAATTTACTTTCCTTAAATTTAAATATATGTGCATTTTGTCATCGAAAAATATATATATGTGCATTTCATTTGTTAAATTACATTTAATAATAATTATTATTACGAGAAATTAATTTGGAGCCCTTATAGTTTGCCTTAATTTCAGTCACTAAAGTAAGTCTCCACATAAATGATGCCATTTTGATAGATACACACACACACACAAACATATATATATTTTAGAAGAACAATTTTATTTTAATTTAAGTTAAAGAAAACAGAAAACATGAAAATAAACAAGATTCAAAACAGAACACAACACAACTATATACATAAGCCATCAGTGAATGCCACATATATGGGTATCCATATACATGTACATATATATATATGTATGTGGATAACTTGTATTCTCCGTTCCTGGATTTTGAATGTGTTGCCGTGGAGATGAATGAAAGATTTCATATATGCTGGCCAAAAAAAAGAAAAAAAATCTTCTTCGCACTCCCCATAATTGTGTGTTTTTTCTTATAATTTGTGTTTTAAAAATGTTATCATTTCCATTCTTATATGAAAGCACTCCTAAATTTACAAGCATTCATTAAAAAAGTTAAAAATAGTTCATTAAAAGGATTAAAAATTATTACTGGTTTTCAAAATTACTCTTCAAGTATTAAAATCAAGAAATCTTAATTACTTTTAATTTTGCTTTTATATAATATTTCTCTACAATGCAATTAATATGGATATTTGTGAAATAGGAAGAATTGAGTACTATATATTTAGCGTCATTCACACGAGCTCTCTTGCTCTCTAATTTACTCGGACAGCGTGTTGGATTCTCTTAGCTTGTCTGCCTTGTTTCGTGTTAACTTTAATGCCTACTAATGATGAATTCAAATTATCTCAAGGTATATTTATGTGTATACTGTATACATTCAAATTAAATCCATTGCAATTACGCTAGTAAATGTGTTCCTGATAAGCGCTATGTATGGTTTTTCATGATCAAATGTAGTTTTTTTAAGACCTGAAAGCTTTGCGGCTAACTAAGTTGTTGCTACCCTATTTTGTTGTCTTGCCATGAAAAAAATGTAGTTTTGCTTCTTTATTCTTTCTTGTTCTGCTCTTTCAAAAGCTCTTTTTTTTTTAATGCTAAATGGAATAAGACAGTTGTTTGAATGATTTTAATGTCGCTAAATACAATTTTTTTAATATTTACAGCTAAATACTTTAAGAAAGTGAAACAAATGGAGAATTATCAGGACGAGTGCTGTCAATATTGTGGTCACATAGGCCTTCAGAGCGGAGATGATGGTTTTTTCTATTGTGTGCGATGCTTTTCTAAATTGGAGGACTTAATTGAAACGGGTGTGGCTGATGAGGACATGGCTCTTGGTGGCATCTACTCTGTCAGGCACCGCCATAAGCGTACTAATGTAATGGAAGTCATGCCTGTTTCTCAGCATGACCCCTTGTACGATTCCCAACCTCAATTGTTGAAGGCCCTGGGGTTGGAAGATCAGTTCCCTCAACGAAGAGATGACCCCTCGATTCTCGATGATTTTGGACGTTCGAGTAATGCAAGAGCTCTAAGCTATGAAGATTACTACAATAGCGTGAGGTTCAAATATCTAATAGGCTTGCAGATTATGTTGTAGCTTCAATGCGAAACATTAGTAAAAAAGTTCAAGGTGAATTCTCAGATATGTAATTTGGCTGCGGAATATTGGTTGAAGTATGTAGAGAAGACTAATATTTTGGGTTGTGACTGGGCTGATGTAGTTGTTCTTGAGTATGCAATGCAACAAGTTGTAGATAATACTTATTTTTACAGCTACACTTAGATTGAGTGAAATAATTTCTTTAGTGATATCATAAGTGTGTGTCGCATTCTTGTGCAAGCTCTTTAAACCATTTAAACACCGCATCATGCACGATATGTTGTAGCACACTAATCCCAAACGATTGAATCCTGATTTTTTTTTTGGGGTTCGGATCTCCAAACTTCTTTAGCTTAATAAGAATAACACCATGCATACTCACCTATTATCTCATTGGTTGGGATGGAGGAAGCAAAATCTACTTTAGCTTTTAATGCATTCACACATATACATGTACATAGCTACGCTATACATATGGGAGAGAAAGAGTAGTTGGATTGAACAGACCAAAATTTTGAGTATGGAAGTTGTTTGTTTTGTTGTGTGCATATAACGGATCTACTTTCCCTCTTTTTGTACAAGTGTCGCCAACATGCAAAAACTCCCTTCTATTTAATAATGGCTATATTACATATACCCCATGTTGTTTTTTATTTCTATTTATGCCCTACTTGAAATAGGCTAAGTTTATCCATCAAGAATGGACTTATAGGCTTTTTCTAATCGTTTATGATCATTGATTATTAGAAGTACTGATCATTGGAGATAATATGCATATTTTGTTACTATATCAATTGCTTTCTAATTTTCGAGACGTCCCTATCATCGTGCATGTCTATGCTTCTCATTTTCATTGCTTATTTAGGGTCTGAAGACAACGTTCCAAAACTACTTGTGAAACACAAAAGAGAATTTCACAATATCTTTAGTGAATGTGTTGTAATGATATGGTACAAATCTTTAAGCAAGATGATTCCATTGGATAGTACTGTAGCAATTTTACTCTTAGCTTGTCACATAACTAATGAGGCAGTGTTGCATATAGACATCTCATAATGGGCTGTTGAAGGAAAACTTCCATATTTATATGCCTTTGTTGAAATCAAGCGCATGGGGCCATCTGACAGTTCATGTCCTATAGATTTACATCAAATGTTCAAACCTTCACGATGTGTTTTGCCACAAAAGATTGAGACTTTAGCTGCAACAATTGTTGATTCTATAGGCTTGGAGATGCCTCCTATGAACTTTTTTGAGATAGCTAGACGATATATTCGACAGTTAAAGCTTCCTTATGAAAAGATTCTGCCTAAAGCAATGCTTATCTATGAATGGTCTTTGTCTCCCGGTTTATGGTTATCCAGAAATCAGTCAAGGTTTCCAACTCGCTTATGTGTTCTCTCAATTATAATTGTAGCCATTCGGATGTTGTATAACATTAATGGTTTTGGATTTTGGGAGAGGAGTTTGTCCAATAATGCGGCTCCAAGTGACTCTAGAGACAAAAAAAAATGTTTAATGGATTTAAATCTTGAGCGGGATCAACTTGAAGAGGAAGCTGCCAAGCTGCTTTGCCACCTTCATTCCTTGTACACTGGGGTTCCAAAACAATATGGTGTGAACTTCTTGAAGCTTTTTATTTCATAAGTTATGTATAAACAAAAGTATGCATTTAGTTTTCTAACAACTTAAGTTTAATTTAAAAAAAGCAAAAATGATTATATTAAAATATCATTATTTGATAACTTTTTGTCTACATTTAATGGTGTGGTGTAAATATTTTTGGGGTAATGAAACCAATATTGTTAGCATTAGAAGATTATTAACACTATTTTGTGTGAAATTAGTAGATGGAATGTGCACTTTTAGTTTATTTATATATGAATGTTCCTTTTATGGTAACTTTGTTGAAGAACTTGATGTTTTTGGGTATGTGGAGTCAGAGTATGCAAAGGACTTGCAAACATATCTCAAACATTGTGAGGATTTTGTCTTTGCTAGATTGGAACCGCCTTTTGAAGACTACAAAGAGAACATGATGGTTAAAGATGGGGAGGTAAAATAAAATCCTTAATATTCTTGTAAAGTTTATTTCCAACTTATTAATTTTGAAATAGATTCTCAAAAACTTAATGAGAAAAAGGTTTACTTTTGACAACTTACTAAGTTGAGAAAGCATTTCAAAATATTGGAATTGGTTCAGAATTTGCAACATAATTCATTGATTTTTCTCATTGATTTCAGGATTCATAGGTGTCAAAGGTGTCAGAACCCAAAACTGATGAGCAAAAATTTGCAGGCATCGAAGAAAATCAAGCTCTCAAAATATTGAAATTGGACATGCAAGAGAAGGGATTTAATTACCTACCTCCAAGGATAAAACCAAGAAAATTCAATTACATTTACTATGGGAGAAAGAAGGATGATGGTATTTTGGCTTATATTGCTCATGCTGATTATTACATTTTACTTCGTGCTTGTGCTTAGCTTGCACAAGTGATATTCGGATCATGCATATGGCGGTAATGAAAGTTTGAGAAAATGTTGGATTGGATCGAAAAAAAGATTGAAAACATCTTGTCTTTTGAATCCACAAAGTGTGAGCACTGCTGTCACTGATTTGGGTGTTGCGAATTGATGTTTTTTTGGCTTCTATATTTATAGTGCTTTTATATGAATATTGCTATTTGAAGCCCCCAAGTTAGTCTCGTTTTGTAGTTTGTTTTTGGATTAAATGTGTTAGCGTAGCTTTTGTTACGATTACTTGTTAGTCATGATAATGCTTATTAGCTTACCTTATTTTGATTACAATTTTATAATGTTTTCAAGGTAAAATTGTTTAATACAATGGTTGTTTTATTATTTTGGTTCATGATAATATTGAATGGCAATTATGCTCTATTGGCTTAATACAACATTTTTTTTGGGTGCTATGGATAATCTTGAAATGCTAGATTTGTGATTTATAATTTTTTTCCCTTATTACTTTAGTTCACATATAGAGCTACGTATTTTGATATTAGACTTAAGATAACTAGCTATATGATTGACATTTTTAATATTTTCATATTCCCAAGTGACTGCATATGATTGGATCTTGTCTGGGAATAAAGATTTGACAATAGAATTTGCTTCATCAACCTCATAAGTTCAGATTTTGCTAATGAGTATTATCATAAACTATCAAGGAATAAAAAAGATGGAGATGACTAGTTTTTTTTTGCCAAAAACAGTTTTTTAATCAATAAATACATGACTTTATGTAGTTTATTTGTTGTAATTTAATCTTTCCGCTAATCTGAGTTTAGTTTTTCTATTTCAGGAATATTGGATGAACTTGAACTTTTGCCTTTATCACTTTTTTTTTTATTATGTGCATATATATGTATCATCGAAATGATATTAATACTAAATACATATACATAAGCCATAAAATAGAAAGCAAAAAAAAGGGGGATACATAATGCTAGAAAATTATTAAAATAAAAAGGTTTGATTGGCTTTTGGGCATGCTTTGAATGGCACAAATGGAGGTTGTGATTGGACATTGTGTAGGTTGTGATTGTATGCTGTGCATGTTGTCATTCGGTTAAGTGTGGGTTCTGATTGGCTTCGGTGCATATTGTGAATGTGTCAAACGTAAGTTGTGATCAGCTGCTTTGTAGGTTGTCACTGTATGCTGTCTATGTTGTCCTTCGGTTAAATGTGGGTTCTGATTGACTTTTGTGCATGTTGTGAATACACAAATGTAGGTTGTGATTGGATGCTGTGCATGTTGTGATTCAATTAAGTGTGGGTTGTGATTAGCTTCTGTGCATGTTGTGAATGGATCAAATGTAGGTTGTGATTGGTTACTGTGTAGGTTGTACTGTATGCTGTGCATACCATTATTCGGTTAAGTGTGGGTTTTGATTGGCTTCTGTGCATGTTATCAATGGCTTAAATGTAGGTTGCGATTGACTACTATGTAGGTTATCACTGTATGTTGTATACGCTGTCATTCGGTTAAGTGTGGGTTCTGATTGGCTTCTGTGCATTAGTTGTTGTGGCAAATTTTAAGTGCCTAGAGTATGAGTCATTAAAGTAAACAACATATACAAACTTCTAAGATGAAGTATTCCTCATCAATTACTTTTGTAAACATCTACAGGATATGGCATACCATCCAATTAGACACACAAATTATGGAAGATTTCTTTGTAAACAACATTAGTTTTTGTGGCCTTCATGTTATTCCCATCTTCATCAACAATAACTTTCAAACTATCAATTGATTTTACTCTTGAAAGTACAACATATAGCTGGCCATGTGCAAAAACAGGTTTCACAAAGGTAGACTCAACACAATCTCCATGGAAAAGGAAAGTTGTCTGCTTCTTCTCCCTATGAAATAACAACTTAATTATAAGTTCAATATGGTTATAGCATAGGAATAACAACAAAGATGTTCTCTAAGTGGAGTGACCAAAACCTACTGTCCTTAATGACAAACATTAGTTCCTTGGTGAAACAACCCCATCATGGTTCTATTGATGGCTTCCCATAGGACTTCAATATCCCACAGACATTTGTAACCATTAGTAATATGACATTAACTCAACCTTCTTATCATAAAGCCATAAACTAACCAAATAACTTACCCACTAACTGTGTATTGGGATCACAGAGTCGAAGAGGCTAATCAGTAGCTTTTAAGGCGAATGAACGTCCAGAGAAAGGCTCCCATGACTTGCATATGATTGTCTCAGGTCCAAACATAATATGGAAGCATTCGTGTAGTCCTTCACCTCCACTTCTCACAGTAAAACTAGTAATCCAATAACACCTACACCCCCCAAGATGCCATAATAGCCTCTCTTGCACTTCCACATCCTTCACTCTTGCCATAATCCGCACCCTCTGTGCATAGAGAACACACGTCAGCTTCTACTTCACCAATACGTAAAAATGCAAAAGGTGAGAACAAAAAAAAATGATGATGGTTCACGCTAAACATAATAGTACCTAATAGTCAAATAGTATAAGGTCGATAGAAACTGCTTCAATGATAGGCCTCCTCCTTCTCTGTGTGAATTTAACATAGGTCCTTGTGATTATGCGGTCCACCTTCACAAATAGGGTACCATCACATGGACCAAGACGAAGTTCAGAGAGCAAAATAGGTCTTCCACGAAGAACCTAGAAGGCAATAACGTTAGACATGATAATAAACCAAATCTTATAACCTTATATGTCAACAAAGAGAATGGGATGAGAACTGAAAGGGAATAGACCATATTTATAACTTGAGAATTGATTATAAATGATGCTAAGAATAGGTAGTTGAATGAAAAACTGAGCAATAAATTGAGGAGTGAAGGTAACTATGATTAAGCATTTAATCCTATCACCAACCTTTACCTATGTCTACCAATAGGCCAACACTATATATATAATGACTTAGCTCTATTGTCAAATAATAAATGCAGAAATATACCTTGGAATGTTTCTTTGATTGTTAGGGAATTTCTCCAGTAGGTAATACTTGCCCTCTACTATCAACATGAGTGGAAGTGATAGAAAGAGAACACGGCTAGGAAGAAAGGCTTTCCACATTTGAAGGCTCAGTGGCAAGCAAATTCAAATATGCACAAGTACAACTCACACCCGTCATTACATTATGCTCATGAAGCCAGAGAATGTTAAATGGAGCTAGATCAACCCTTGTGAACAGTAAACTATGTATGTAGCCAACATAGAGCTGACAATAGGGATCATCTTGTTTGGAAGAAATTGATAAGTTATATTGATTCCTCATATGATGTGTCTTTCTTTATCATTCTTATTCTCACACCACTTTCAACATACTGTGTTTCACCCTCCACATCATTAATAAATTGTCCTCTTATATGGAGGTAACAAAACAAATGCTTCTCACTTGATGTTGCCATCCTTCATATCAACTTGTCACAATCACTATTGATAACAAGTCATACAGTTATATTAACAACCTTCGATATATCCATTAACAACACATTTAACCATCACATTACAGGGGTTACAACAATAAAAATATGTTATTTTCCATTCATTTTCATCAACATATATTAATAACATTCGATATACCCATTAACAACACATTTAACCATCGCATTACAGGAGTTACAACAATAAAAATATGTTATTTTCCATTCATTTTCATCAGCAACACAGCATCAATGATCGAAAAGCAAAGCATCATTCATTGAAAAACAGAGCATTGCTTTATAACCCTAGCCACACATAACAAAACCACACCTAAGATGATTAAAACCACATATGACTAAAATGAGCCTCCCTTGATAGTTGTAGTGAGTTGAATCACATCCTTAATACCCACACACCCACAACTAATCAACTTTTCAAACCAACATTAAACTTGAGACTGGTTGTGTACAAAAGAGGAGAAATGTTGTTAATGATGAGACCTACAAAGAAGATGAAGAAAAAATATGGCTTGCCTGCAATAATGGAGCACCAGCACAGACCTCCATTTTTTCTTTCAAAAGGTTCTCTTCCTCTTGCATGCTAAAAACCTAGCACACCAACTGAGCCAATCAGCTTCTCTTTGTCTGTTTTTTTTCCTTTTTCAATCAGTCAGGTCAAGTAGGTAATTTCACAATTTTAATTTTTCCCTATGAGATCCCTGGGGACTTAGAAAGCATTTGGGGATTTCCTGGGACTTTTTCAGAATTAATTGTCTTCTGTGAGATCAGTGTGTAATTTTTCCTAGATTCATTGCAAAGGATATTAGACGGAAATACATTAGAAACCCAAAAACCACAAACTTAACTGAGAGGCTTGTGGGCTGGCCAATGCGTTTTTGTTTTAATGTTTACTTCCTGATGTACAAAAAAATCTATCTTAAAAATAATATTTTTTGTTTACTAAAACGACTTCAAGATTCTTTTCTCCCGAGGTTGATGCATTTATGATTTTTTTTGTGGTCATAATCATTTAATGGTAAGCAACTTTAAAATTATATGAAATATGAGAACCAAGAAAAATTTAAATTTTTTTTAACTCTGCTTTCAATTTGTTGCTTATTTGACATACACACAGTTTTTAAGAAGATAACAATATGCACAATAATAAATAAAAGGTAAAACAGTATAAAATATTTGGCCAAAAAAAGTACAGGACAAAAACAAATCTTTCCGCCTTATTAATAGAATAGAACATAAGACCACATATGAAAATGTTGCAAGTAAAGCAAAGATAAACTGAAAAATATAAAAGATATAAAGATTTTTTAAAAGAGGATTAAAAATATGCTTGATTAATAAATAAAGACTTGATAATATCATATACACGACCAATTGATATTTCAAAGGTTTTATAACCTAAAACAACTATATATAACAATAATATGAAATAATAAAACAACTACTACCTCCGATCATAATTATAAAAGCTATTTGACTAATTTGAATAGATTAAAAAAACAAATTAAGTTAGTTATTTGTAATAAATAGGTGTTGTCTTTCCTAAAATATCTTTACTAATTAAGGTTATTGGTTAAAATTACCATTATTAGAAGAATTATCTTGGAAAAAAATGAATAAATATTAGAAGTAAAATGAATTGAGATCTTATATTTAGAACTAAAATAAAAGTCAAATGAGATCTTATATTAAGGACCAGAGGTAGTATATATAACAACAATACGAAATAACGAAAACAATCAAATCACAATATAATTTCTTACGCACATTGCATGAGTTAAAAATTAAACTGCACAAAGAACCATTGAAGATAGCCTCAAGCAATAATCCAACCCAGAATAATTGGTGGTCCAAATCCCACTGAAAATATGCAATACTTAGATTGGTTCTGTACCAGTTCGTACGTAATTACAGATATGTGTGTGTATGAGATAGTTGTAAAAACAACATAAAAGGGAATCATTTATTTATCGTCGGAAAACTAAACCAGCTAAGACCTCCAAGTCCTCCAGTTCGCTAGCCATTTCTTGCAAAACCTCTAAAGGATAGCCATCCAGAAAAGAAAAATAGTCATCATCATCATCATGATCTTGAGGCGTAGGCATTAATGCAGAAACCAAATGGTTATTATTATAATAATCCTGATAAAGTTCTTCTTGATGCATAAGAAGCTTTTCATCGTATGTTATTTTTATTTCTTCATTCTGGTTCTTCAGAACATGACGACGATGAGGAACTCTCTTGTAAATCTTGCACAAGACAAAGTCACGTAACTACTCAAAATCACATAAAATTATAAAAGAACTTATTAGTTGGATTATTAAAATGGCAAGAAATAAACAGATCAGATCATAGATTATTATACGCGCAGTATATTAATTATGAACTAACCTTCATATTAGTGTTACTGATCGTTCTTTGATGAGGCAAGTCAACAAGTGAATATTCTTTCATGTTCCAGGTCGTCTTTGTTCCAGTGGGACTCTTTCCTTGGAAATATGTTAAGATCCTCCATTTTCCCACAATTCTCTTCTTTGAATAGATTGACTTGTTACTAACGCCATAATTTTTCCAATAGCCCTCATTTGTGGATCTCTTTGCCCTTGACCAAGTCAGGTATTTTCTTTCTCTTGGTGAGAAGAAATACCATGCTTTCTCATCCATGCCTTTGTAGTTTTCTGCAAGTTATATATGAGTGAACAATGTTACACACACACACACACACATTTATATAAACGAGATGGAGAATTAAGTTTTTGGGGTTATTATTACCACATAGAATTGCAGGATCGTATTGATATATATCAACCTCTGGTATGATCAGATTTGGTGGCAGTGGTTCATTCTTGACCTTCTTCATCAGATACTTCACAATGAGTTCTTCTTCTGTGGGGAAAAATCCATACCCGGGCGGGAACTTTTTAATCCTTACAATTCCATTATCTATGATAGATAAAAACTGTTGGTTCTCATCACACTCCACGTACGTCTTCTGAAAACAATGGAAACAGCTAGTAGCTTAATGAACGATGTATATTTTCCACCAAGAAAAGATCAATAATATAGCCAACAAGAAGAAGAAGATGAAGGTAGAAGAAGACGAAATGATCAAGAAAAGGAAATCCGTACCCGCAAGATTCGTTTGATGGGGCTAAGAAGAAGAATATGAGAGGTGGTTTTGTGGGTGCACGTAGCAATTGGAGGGTCAGACTTAAGAGTATATATAAATGCACGAGCTCTCTTCTCGTTCTATCTTTTTTTTTTTTGGGGAGGGGTGGTAATGCAATAGCAAGTTAGCTTTTAAACACGACACGTCAGCACTTTCATTCGTTTATTTATTAACATTGTTAAGAATAAATAATAACTGATTATTGATTATTTACATGACTTTTATATAGTAAGGAAATCAATGAAGCAGTGCACGTATGGAAATTATATAATTGACTGTGACTTGTGGGGCTGCTTTTTGGGCTGTTATCCAGCCATTTCTCTTTTTCGCCTTTGAATTTACCTTTTTTTTTAGCATATATTTTTTAATTAATGTCTCAATGATATTTTGATGTAAGAATCAAATCACTAAATCCACTTTGCAATCATTCTTTTTATCGTATAAATCTGCTTTGGCTCACTATTTTACCAAGAGGGCTGTGGAAGTTGCCCCTTCTAAGGTTCCCAAGGCAACATGAAATTCCTAAGTTGGAATTGCCGTGGGTTTAGGAAGACCACAACAGTTTAAAGGTACAGACGACTAGCTGACTTGCACAAACCTTCATTCATTTTCTTATCCCAAAAAAGAAATTGTTGTATTTGATGCCTTGAAACCTATTTTAGATATAGGCTTCCTTTGTTATGTTGGCATAGATGCTGTTAGGAAGGGAGGGTACCATTATGGCTTGGATCCTTGATTTTGTGGTTTGATATATCTCACACACACGCATGCCACGCAGTAGTGGTGTACTGCGATTGACGTCGCTGATTAAAGCTGATATTTGAACTAAGCCTCTAAGTTCACAACAACTTCTAAGAAACTCATTTGTAAGTTGGGAATGATATAACTATACTTCTTTCTTAATTTATAGGGGTCTTGAATGTTACTATTCATGCTGCGCCAACCCATTTCTTTCTTGGGCTTAGGTCCAAAGGTCTTTGTACCATTTATTCGGACTTTGTAATATTTCTAATTGTTTGTAATTATCATTTTGTCTTGATATCAAAAAATAGTTTGGGTTAAGATACAAATTTGCTCTGAAAATTCACTCACGAGCAATGTTGCCTCGAAAGTTTTTCTTGAGTTTAAGGTTATCTTTAAGTGTTAAAATTGAATTATAGATGGTATCTTTCATATTGTGATATTTTTAATTCTTAATCCCAATAATTCAATTCCTTCTTAGTTGTTGAGATTGTTCTTGTTTGTTTCATGAACGTGATTAAAATGCATTAGGCAAATAGTTTTCCTCATGATTATTCGATAATAATCTCTTACAGAATATATATATATATATATATATAACTTCTAAAATCTTCATTTTTTCACAATCTTTATGTAATAGTTCAAGGCTTATTTTCTGCCTCATAACATCATATTTTTGAGACTTAGTTTATTCCCTGCCTCCTTGTTCCATAATTTCTTCTACATGAGACCTCCAACTTGAAGCCTGTAGGTCACCAACATTTAATCTCTAAACAGCTGGCTTAAAACTTGACAAATTTCTTCTTCTTCAAACTTTCAACAGTCTCCTTGAGACTCACATCCAAAGGAACAAATTCAATTCCCAAACTCTTTGCCTTCTCTTTTGAAATCTTATGCTTTGGCATAAAGGGTTATCATCCACGCACCTGACAATTTTGGAAAGTAAATGAAAATGAAATCAGTATGAGTCAAATGAATTGAATAAGTAGGAAGCTAGAAATCTGAGAAAAGTCAGAATTGCAATCCATGGTACATCTAATATCATTGAGTTTGTCCAACTCAGCATAATGTTATGTATTTCTAAGCCACGTATGATGTATGAAAACATGTTTTCATTACATAGTTTGACATGCTTATGGTTTAGGAAGCATTAAAACAATTTAGAATAATGCAGGACTCAAAATGAAAATCATAAAATATGTATGACAAATTCACTTCAGACTTAAAGTGACAGAAAAAGTTCAGTCTATATAAAAGAAGGATGGGTTGTTTCAGCCCAATGAATATTGGCATTCATCTGTGTGTGTGTGTACACCTTTAATACTATATAATGAACAAACTTACCTCTCTGGAAGTTTAAACTTAGGGTACAATTCATGCAAAATCTTCACAACATCTGCGTAGTGTGCTACCGTCTCAACCAAACAATATCTTCCATTAGCTAAAGGAATCTCAAACGCCTGAATATGGGCATTTGCAACATCTTTTACGTTGATCCATTCTAAAGCAAAATTTGGAAATGTTTGTGCACCTACATCAATCAAACAAGGAAGTGATCAGTCCATTTATGAAGCAACATCATTATAATCTTCCAAAGTGCTAATTCCCATATATTTGCCAATATAGCAACTTAAATATATCTCCGAATGATAATAAGAAACTGTGTAGACAGTGACTAGCTAGGTTTCTGTGAAACATGACAACTGTAGTTATCAACGAGTTGTGTTCTACTGAGGTCAAATTGGAATTCCAAATAAATGGTTCACGTCACATCTTCTATAGGTTAAAATGCTTTATTGACTTCTTGATGGGAACCTCTCGACGGTTTCAATCCATGATTTCCTTTGCCTCCCCAAACACCTAAACTCTAATTCAGTATAGCCAGACAAAAAAAAAAAAAAAAAAACCATTCAGTTGAAATTGTCAAGTAATCCAGATGCAGACAGGCACACAACAGGATTCCTGTAAGGATGAATCATGCCAATAAATTAAATTTACCATTTATTAGGTTTAAAATTGCGGCAGCACTTGCATTAAGCGTGGGTTGCAAGAGAGGTCCTATTACCATTCCTGGGTTGATAGAAACCATGTCCATGTTGTTTTCTTTTACAAATTTCCAGGCAGCATCTTCAGCTAAAGTCTTGGAAAGTACATACCAGAGCTGAAAGAACAAAACAAAAGAGAGCAGAAAACTTGAAAGGCATTGTAGATTATGGTGACAACGACAATCACCATAATTTCAGGCACTGAAATTTGGAATAAATGCACTGACGCTATTCCTCAGCAGCATTTGTCAAGTGCGTTCAAGGTTGAAAGTGTTATACTGTTATGACATGAACTTAGTAAGGAAAGCAGCTGAAGCAGTTTAGCAACTTTAATGGACCATCTCTACATCAGAATTATAAGTGCGAGCTCTCAAAATCAGTCTTTGTACAAAATGAAGTTATGACGAAACATTGATTGCATGACCATATATTGATGCGGATACCAGAACACTGCAGACAGTCTGCAAACTAATAAAGAATCCAAAGATATAAAACTTTGACTAAATAAACCCTATTAAAATGATTGTTATGGGGAGGCGGTAAACTTGAGTCAATCTGATTGGCAACAAAGAAGATGGTTGTGAATCGAAAGTCCTAAATGACCATAAGCACTGTTGATAGATGGTTTTGAAACATAAGTCTCAAATGACTATCTTCCTCCTCCTCCACATCTTCTTTGTTTCAAGTATAATTTTATTATGATCTTATTTTAACATTTTGGTATACTTGTCAACCAACTTTCATCTATTTCTTCTGGAAAAAGAGTGCTTTTCATTTTATTTTAAATGTGACAATTCAGCAAATGTGAAGACACCACTTCCCATGGAGTCCACTTGACCAGGCAATGCAAAGACATGCAGAAAGCATTTTATAGTTAAAACTTGCTATCAAAATGTTATGCAGCATTTGCTACTATCATGTATTCAATCCACACGAACTGCTAGTTTGAAAATCTTTGCGAAGTATAATAAAAGACTGTGCATACCTTAGATTCCTTACAGAATTCGGGATTTGAAAACCATGTCTCATCAACGACATCTTCAGGTTTTCTAGGCTTCCCAGTATATGTAACTGCAGCCATAGAAGATGTTAAAACAATTCTCTTCACAGATGGCGATTTCGCACATGATCTAAGAACATTGAGAGTTCCCTTGACCGCTGGGTCAATTAATTCAGTCTGAAATGAGTAAACCAATAATTAGAAGCTAGTAATAAGGCAACTGTTCTTTTGGATTAATAGTTTGATGACAAAACTAATTAGGGTAAGTTACTCTTTCCTTCCCAGGAGACGATTTAAATGCCCTCTCTTCTATAAAAATTTCTCTTACCAAAACCATTTTTTTCCCCCTGTAGACAACGTAATTGTAATTCAGGTGGTTGTCAAACTTGTGAGTTTTACTCACACTCGTGGAGAGCTAAAATAGCTCAAACCCAAATTGGACTTGTATACTACAAGCTGATAAGAATTCATGTGACCAATATCTGGTCCAAGGAAGAAAGAAAGGAAGAAACAATAATAAGTAATATGACTGATCATGTGCATTACAAACGTTGGGAGTAAAGGTTAACAGTTCAAAATCAAAAATGTTAAATGAAAAATGAGCCTAAAAGGTGAAGCCCTGAACTACAGTTTCTTAGCCTCAACTATAAAGAATGACAGTAGTTATACCTCTCTTCAATTTTCTCGTTTGTAAACCATATACATCATGGATAACACGAAACTGAGGCAGGCTCAAATGATACTCTGTTCTTTACAGTAATCCTCTCAAAACCAAACCATAATCACTGGAAAAACAGCTCTATGTTTAATACGTGGGACAAATTGTTTCAGGTTATAATATTTGAAATACGATTTTTGAAGTGTAAAACCACTATGGTTAAACAATCCTTTATAAGTAACATAAAAGTACATTGAAAATAATACATGATACACAGCATGAAATTACCACAAATTTATCATTAAGCTACTTCAAAATTAACAAACATAATTAACACTATAACACCAGTCTCACTAGATATTTTTTGCTCAAGTAGAGATTTTGCCATTTTTCAGCAATATCTATTCCGAGTAAATACATTGAAATGAATACTCGAAAGACTCGTTTTGGATTCATTTACTTTTATGGGGTAAAACTATATATATGTGTGTGTGTGTGTATTTGGTAAATGAAAATATTAGATTATCGATTAACAAAGTTCTCGTATCAATAGTTGGATCCTAACACATGCCCGTACGAAGTATGAGTCACATCTTTACTGACTAGATTAACATTCATTCACTTTGAATTATATTATCTTATTATGATATCTATATAGTTATTTATAAGTGCAAGAGCGTGTGTGGGTTTTTGTGGCTGCGAGCACATGTGCATGTGGGTCTGTGTGTCTCTATAGTCTCCGCTAATAGAATTAAAATGGCTGAGCCACATGGTGATGGTAGTTCTATGTTCCTTGTTTCTGAAAATCGTAGTTCTACTTGGTTCATAACCAACATTGACCAAGTAAGCTACACATTGATCTGGTCTGATTCTAATAATACCGCTTTATACAATAATTGCATATATCTCCAAAGCTTTGCTTAACTAGGAGAACAGAGTGAACTGGTGCATATATTTACTAGCTAATGACTAATGTTATAACATGCTGAGGACAAAAAGGGGCGTGTCAATATGACAATCCATATAAATTTGAAAAATAAAAAATTAGCTTATCATCTTAAATAAATAAATAAACAAACTTGTCCTCATATTATAGGGCCTTTTGGGTATCAAAGCAAGAAGATCATTTTAATTTTTCATTTGGAAATTGAAAAAAAAAA